AACTCTCAAGAGTCCCAGCACTTGAGAGGCTGAGGCAGGAGGATCGCTTCGAGTTTGCGTCCAACCTGGGCTACATAGTGAGTTCAAGGCCAGCCTGAACTGCACAGCGAGACCCTGTCCCCCCTGCCCCCAAAGAACCCCAAAGAGAATTGTTCTAAGACCCACACATGTACTAGTGCTTTAATTCTCTTCAAATAGCGAGGCCGAAGACTCAGCTCCACATCCTTGCCCTTCTGCACTGGGCCTTGTGGCCCTCACTCCAGCCAGTGTCACTGTTGGTGGGCTACCCACTCCGCGGGGCCGGCAGGACAGAGCATAGCTCCGAAGGTGGGCGTGAAGGCTGCCATTAGAACATCACAGCTTTTTCCTGGAAGTTTAGAAGGTCGAGTAGTTGGTGGGAAACAGGGAGATGGAGCTTTTGCAGGCAGGGACCAGGGGGAAGACACGGAAAGGATGAAGGTGCATGAAGTTGTGTGTGTACAAGCACCAACTAACTCCCCACGAGGAATGTCACGTGATCGCTGTGTATGCACGATGCACTAATAGACATAAAAATTTAAAAAGAGAAAATGATCATTGTCTCAAAAAATAACCTAAAGATTTGCAGATCATATATCCAAGAGAATTAATACCCAGAATCTACAAGGAAGCAGAGGTCAACAACAACAAAACAAATAAGCAACCCAGAGGGGGAAAAATGGGTAAAAGTTTGGAATAGTCAGTTCTCCACAGAAGATGTACAGACGGCAAAAAGCTCATGAGAGATGTTCACCGTCCTTAGCCATTAGGGAAATGGAATTCAAACCGTGAAACCCGGTAGGATGGTTGCTACCGAAAAATGGAAAACAAGCGGCCAAGATGTGGAGAGATGAAACTTCGCACATTGCCCGTGGGAATGGAAATTGATGCAGCTACTGTGGAAAACAGTTTGGCTGCTTCTCAAATAGGCGTGGTGGCGCACGCCTGTAAACCCAGAACTCAGGAGGCTGAGGCAGGAGGATCACCACAAATTCAAGGCCGGCCTGGGCTACATAGCAAGATTCTGTCTCAAAAAAAAAAAAGAGGTTAAATTGATAAATTTTGCTATGTATGTGTTATTACAATTCTTTATAAAAAGTCAAGCAAAAATGTGAGGGCTTTAGTGTTTCTGTGGTTTTCGAGCCATTCCCATTCAGACACTACTCTTTGAGGTGCCCCCTGCCCAGCCCTGGCTGGCGCTCTGGGCTGGCACTGAACTGCGGTTTCTCGGATCCTTGGAGTCTCCCCGGGGCGACTGGCCATGTGGACCCCGGGCTGCCCTGGCTCCCGCCCGGGGCAGTGTCCCTGAGCTGTGCGGCTGAGCAGAGCGGCAGGCCGGACTCCCGGGCGCCGCACCGTGAGGAGACCCTCTGTGCTCCTCGGGATTCAGCTGCAGCTCCTCCAAGTACTCGGGCTTTAAAACAAAGGGAAGGCGGTGAGCTGAGGACTTGGCCAGCTAAGAGTATGCTGCGATCAGCATTTAGTCAGGGACAGCGCCAACCGTGTTTAAATGGCATCGTGATTTAGACAGGGACTGCCAAGTCCACAGACTTCTGGACAGAGGCCCTGCCCCAGGGTGCCTGAGCGACTGTCCGGGGAGGCTGGTCCGTCCTCCTTACCCAGGTTGCTGAGCACTGGAGACATGAAGATGGCCAGAGGCTGAAGCCCGACAGAAACATGCAGATCAGGCTGGGGATGTGGCTGGGGGAGGAGCGCTTGCCTCCTGTGCTTGGGGCCCTGGGTTCAGAGAAGAAAGCAAAGGGCAGAAATAACGCCAAGGGAGGCCGTCTCAAGGTGCTGGGGCGGCTGGGCAGGAGGAGGGGCAGGAAAGGGCATGCTGGGTACAGACGGCTGGGGACCTTCCGAGGGGTTCAGCAGGGGCACAGCCGCAGAGCAAGGCAGGGAAGGATGGCAGAGGACTGTGGGCGGGCAGGCAACGTGAGCGCAGGACAAGGGCGTGGTGCCTCCTCTGGACCTCACTGTGCGCAGGGGACATCTCGAGTGCAGGGTTTTCAGTCTGGTGGGAGCCTGGGGCCTAACAGGGCTCACATTCCAGAGGAGGGGACGGTTGCTGGCTGGAGTGGCGTGCGGGAGTGGGGGACAAGGGCACCAGGGGTCAGGGTGGAGAGCCATCAAGGCGGGCGGTAAGGACCAGAGGCTGCTCCTTGGAGGCGGACAGGTGAGCTAACACCTGCAACCGTCCACTGGGGCCAGGGCCGCAAGGCGGCAGCGTGGCACCCAGGGGTCACCCATGGGGAAGGCGGTGGTGTCCAGACGCCGGTTCAGTCCCTGGTACTGCGAAAAATAAAACACATCAAGCTTTAGTCTCTCTTTTTTTGGTGAATTACTGAATGCCTAACACTTCATGGTGCTCAGTGTATGATGCTGCATCAGTTCAATGATTTTCTCTGCTGCCAGCTTGTAGTGGAGGACCCGGGAATAACTTAGCTCCCCCTAGGACAACATTTCAGAGGCCACAGGAAGTAGGAGAACATCTAAAATCTGGATCCATTAAATACCTTGGGTTTGTCACAATTTGTTAATTTTCATCAAGAGGTAAATTTCATTTCATTGTCCCTAGATGCTCTGTTCTAGGTTGGCGTGGTAAGACACCCCCGAAATCTGGCAGCTTCTTAGTGCCCCTGTGGGTCCCCTGCTCTCTCCTTTCAGCCCTGGGAGAGCAAATCTCCAAACCTCTTGCAGGCCCCAGGCCGAGGCTGTCTGAAGGTGCTCGTGCTGGTGAGCGGGCCTGGCATGGCTCTGAGCGGTGCCGAATGCCACAGCGGTGAGGGAATTGTTTGTCTCGGGCAGGAGATGCCAATGCCATGACAGGCTGTGTGCAGGCTGCCGCTGGTGGCAGTTGGAGCTGTGTTTCCTGACATTCATGAGGGCCTGCTCGCTGTTGGCCTGAGCAGAGCCGCCCAGAGCTCCTTCCTCAGAGTGTGCGTAACAATGCAAGGGGCTTGAAATCATCCACCAGGAATCTCAACAACTAGCCCAGAAGCCCCGCAGGGACATCCTGCAGCACAGGAAGGTCCTAGCCCGCTCCCCCTTTAGAACCCAGGGGCTCTCTGAAAGCTGAAAGCACACTGGAGTCACGTGGTTTTCACCCTGCGTCCACTGAGCCCTGCTTTGGACCAGCGGCTGCCCGAGATGTCAGAGACAGCTGCTCCCCCAAGGACCTTCATCTGCCAGGGGAGACGTGGACCTCACACAGAGCAGCAGATGCCCAAAGCACTGGAGTGCGGGGTGGGGACAGGAGCAGGAGTAGCAGGGGGCTGGTGCTGAGCCCTGCGGGAGGGTTCGGGTGGGGAGATCCGGCCTGGCCAGGAAGGAAGGGCAGGACACCAGAAGTGGGCACCACATCCAGGGATGCAGGGGCACAGCCCACATGATTCCTCAGAGCACAGCTGTGAGGCAGGAGGATGCACCCGAGTAGGCACCGACAGCAGACCTTGTTTATTGTGTGGCTGGAGTGGGTTAATCCTGCAAACTGGCAGTGGGTCCAGCCTCAAGGGCTCGCTGACCTGGGGACTTATTTAACTGGGCGGGGGCTCATCCTTATGGCGAGAGGTTTTTCCCTCCTCAGAGTCCTCTCGAATGCTGCTACCACCTCAGGCCTGGAGGCAGCAGGATCCGAGGGCCCCACTTGTCACTGCTGCAGTCCTGAGAGAAAGCACCAAGCTCCTGCTGCTCATGGACCTCTCGGCACAGCTGGGGAAGAGCCCCAGTGGGGATGGAGCCTGGGGAGCTCCTGTCACCCTGACACCCCCTTTCCCTGCGGGGGCCCCTCCTCTGCTCCCCCCCCCAGCTGCCCCTCACTTCCGGCCACATTGCCATGTTGGTCAGGGTTCCTGGAGGAACAGAATGGACAGGAAGTAAGTGTACAGTTGTGCAAGGGGTTTGTTACACAGGTAGGAGAGCCATAGTGGTGTCTTCCCGCTGCAGGGCCTGAGTAGCCACTCAGCTCGAGAAGCCAAAGAACAAGAGGGTGAAGGATGCAGCCAAGATCCAAGGCCTGGACATCCCCGTGGGTCCCCAGTGCAGGTCTGGGGGTCTGGGTGGGAGGCTCAAAAAACTGGAGCCTGATGTCCCAGGGCGATGGCAGCAAAAGATGCGCCTCACAGGAGGACAAATGTGCCAGCTTTCCTTTCCCTTTCTTGTTCCATCCAGGCTGTAAGCCTACTGCCGAGTGCCACAGAAGCTGGGGCTGCGTGTCGGTCACCCACACATGTGGACTGCGCTGCTGCACAGCTAATCCGCCAGGTGTTTCTGAGCCCCTTGTCCTGCAAGTGCCATCTGTCAGGAAGTCCTCGACTCTGTCTCCAAAAGCAGCTGGAACCAGTCTGCTTCCTGCATTGAGTTGGGCCAAATGCACTCACAGCGGGGTGAGGGGCTATCAGCAATGCCAACTCCTGGCACTCCCTTCAGGCTCAGGGACTTGGGGATGGGGCCTGGGACTCTGGTGCCTGCTGACATTTGAGGAGGATCACCCTGCTGCAGGCCCGCAGGAGCTCTGGGGCAAACAGCCTGGATGTCCCCACTGTCCCCTCATGGACTGCTCTGTCCTCTATCACACACTCCTAGCAGCCCGAGTGATGTTTTTGAAAGCAGCCCCCAATTCTGTCACGTGAAGCCTGCCCTGGTCTCCAGCACAATCCCCTGGGCACGTCGCTCCTGCCCATCAGCATCGGCAGAATCTCCCTGCCCTGCACCGGCTCTGGGGACAGGGCCGTCCCTTGCATAGATGCCAGCTGGTCCCCAGCATAGGACGTCGGCCCTGGCTGCTCCCTGTACCTTGCGGTGCTCGCGCCATGACCTCAGAACCTGCTTCATATTTACTCGATGTAACTGGCACCTTCTTCGGGGAACCCTTGGCTGATTCACGACCCACAGTAGCCCCCTACCAAACTCCACCGTCTAACCCTCTGCAGAGCACCTAGTGGCCATGACGTTTCATCTTTTCTTCTTTATTTCTTGTTTAACACAATGGGAGTTTCATGAGAAGTGGACCTGGTTTGTCTTGGTCACTGATGCTGCCAGCTGCCTGAGCAGTGCTTGGCACATAGCAGGTGCTCAGTGAGTATTTGCTGCATGAATGGATGGATTGGTGGAGTCACCTCGTCCTCACTCGTGGCTCAAAGTTGTCATCCTGCACCGGTGTCTACTCACAGGGCCGAGTTTCTGGGGTCTCCAGTCTGGGTGAGCTGTGGGGTCCTGTTTGACCACCCTGCAAAAGGAGGCGGGAGTGTGGGAGGGTATTAGGCTGCTCCAGGAATTTCAAGAAGGTATCACTGTGAGGAGCGGGGCAGCCTCAAGGCACACAGGCTTCCTGGACCTGACCCCGGGCTCCGCTGCCACGCTGACCCTTCGACCTGGGTGCCCTCAGCCCACTGCCTGGAATCTCCTTGTGGCTTTAGTTGGTTTAAGTTGTATTTCTGCCACTTCCTGTCCAGAGATCCCACGCACACGCATGTGAGGATCACTCTCACTGGTTGTGAACCTCACTCGACAGCAGCGTTGCGAACGCTGGGCGACGAACACTGGGTGTCGAGGCCAGATACCCTCTACCGAGTGACAGAGAGAGTACGGGGCTGAAGGACATCGTCACCAGCTGAGTGGCCCCAGGGACAATTCCATGGCCCTGGATCAGCTCCTCCTCTGTCCGATGTGTGAAATGCTGAGAGCATGGAGCACATGAGAGAGGATTAGATGGTTGGGACCCGGGGCACCAGCTGGTTCCAGGCTCATTGTTGGCCTGGTCTTGGGGTGTGATACACATTAGTCATCCACAACCTCACATTTCTTTATCCTTCCTTCTGCATCACTAAATGCTTATTTATTTTTAACCTCTTGGGCCTTTCTCATGTACCACATTCTACTTCTTTTCCCCTCTTGCTCATGGTTCCATCCTGACTATCGTTCTTTCCAGGTTCCTAGCTCTTTTTCCCGGCATCCTCTGTTTCTATCCCCACCTGTCTTCCTCCTCCTTCCTTATGGAATGCCCTGCCTGCTCACACGTGGACTGAGATGCTCAGGCCCAGTCCGCTGTGCTGGTTTCCCTGGAGCTGTCTTCCCTGTGGAACTGGGTTATCCATCAGCCTGGGAGGGAGCTCTTCCTGGTTTGGGTGGGGCCTGGGAGCACCCCCTGTAATCTCTGCTCCCGGAATAAGGCTGGCTTTGGGTAGGACACAAACTATAGCCAAAAAGGTCATCCTAAGTCCGGGAGGTCAAGCACTAGAATTTTCTCAGGTTTTAGAAGAGCGGAGCTCTGGAAAGCAGCTGCTACTTTCAGAGGTTTGGATTTAGCTGTGGTGGCTCCTGAGGGTTAGTCCTGGCCCTGCTACTTCCTGTTGGGCACTGACAGTCGCCTCACCTCTCTGCGCCTTGGTTTCTTCATCTGTAATGCAGGTCCTCAGCATTGTAACCTTGATTTCTTGTGAAAATTAAAAAGAAACAATCAGACAGTTTGTAGATTGTGATGTGCTGTATAAATGGGAGATGCTATTAACGTCAGCTTTTATAGGAACCAACTGACAGATATGAAACAGTGGCACATGCCTGTCATCCCAGGAGCTTGAGGCCAGCCTGGGCTACGTAGCAAGACCCTGTCTCAAAAGAACCAAAGAAACCCTGAGCATAGTTCTCTTCAATTTTCCTTGCCCGGTGATAAGATGCATGCAGGATGCTTCGGTGAAGAGCCTGCTGAGCACACCAGGCACTTGCTCGTGGCCACTGGCTCTTCTTGACTGGGAGAAAAGCTGTCTCTGGAGATCATTTCCCAGTGCAAACCCCAGCAAGACAGGTTAGCAGAAGTGGAGGAAGTGGCCCAGGTGGTATCCCCAGGGCCCTGCACGGCCACACCCCTGGGCCTGATCCTCAGCAGCCAGCTCTGCAGGGGGCCTCCATGAAGTGCTCTTCCCCAGAGGCTCCTGGAGACAGGGTTTCTGGTGCCCTCTGGACCTGGCTGCTATGGCCATGGCCCAGCGCGGGCACAGGTCTGGGCCAGCCTTGGGTAGAGGAGGGCAGGGCGGTGAGGACGCAGGTTTAGGAGCCAGCACTAAAGCACAGAGGGTGCTGGCGGAAAGGAGGGTGGCAGAGGAGTCCATCCTGAGGCGAGGAGTGCTGAGAAGCACAAGGGGGCTTGCAGGTCAGCACCACAGGGAAGGCCTGCAGGGCAGGTTCAGCCTCTGGGTTCCCCGAACTCGAACTCGGGGCAAAGGATCTGCAGGTTTGTGTCCCTGCACCTGGCATTCACCAGGCACCAGGCAGGGCAAGGGCCCTGGGGTGAGAGCTTCTCCCTCCCTTCAGCTGCCCAGAACCCCAGAGAGTCAGTCATCTGGCAACGCACGGGAGCCAGGGCAGAGGCACCAGAAACAGGGTTGAGATCCCCAGAAGCAAGGAGAACGGGCTTATTGCTGACACCCACCACTAGGCCTGAGCTTTCACTGTGGATACTCAGCTTCCTTCCCCTGTTTGCAAAGCATCTGCACCCAGCTGGAGTCCGCAGATCCTACAAATGACTGGTGGGTCTCCTCAAGCAGCAGGTGGGAGATGGGAAGTGGCTGAGCCATGTGACTGGAAGCAACCTAAGTCTCCAGTTTTTCACCCAATCAGAGCATCAAGGAGATGGCCTCAGAAACACAGAGAACTGCAGGAGTCAGCTCTGGAAGGAGAGAGATGCCAGGGAACACCTGAGCTGATCACGACCCTCAGGTGTTATGGCAGGGTGTCACAGGGTGGGGACAGATAAGTCAGTCCTGCGGCGAAGACAGGGAAAGCCCCACCCCTGCATGTCCAGGGCTCAGGAAGTCACAGCTGCAGGGCTGTCGCTGATGGGATCTGAGCTCCTGTGAGAGGTCAGGCCCTTGAGGAGGGAGCTGAAGTGCAGGTCAGGGACTGTCCCAGCAGGGCAGAGGGGGACTGGGTAGAGATGACAAGGCAAGGCCCAGGCCACACACTGGCCAGCTAGCAATGTGCATCAGGCACCAAGGGAAGCTTTGCCCGATGCATGTAACACTGGTAATGCCAAATGTGCGGGGTTCTCCAAATCTCCGCAGTCTCCACCGGGTGTCCTATCTCAGCCCGTCCTGTCCCATCCCATCCCATCCCGTCATCACTACCTACCTAGCATTAGGTTAAAGGGCTTAGTCCTACGAGATTGCCCCACACGGTAGCACACACCCATAATGCCTGCACTGAGGGAGGCTGAGGCAGGAGGACTGCAAGTTCAAGTCCCTGATGGTCAACTTAATAAGATCCTGACTCAAAATAAAAAATGAAAAGGCTGAGGTGTAGCTTAGTGGTAGAGAGCCCCTGGGTTCAATCCCCAGTACCACAAAAGAAAAAAAAAATCACTCCACTTTAGACAGCAGCGGAGGCTCTGGGCCGCCCATTCTTGTGACCAACTGGCTCTCCACTGGGGTTTCAGGGGCCAGGGACAAAGATTACATATAATTTTTATGCAGCCCCCAGCACCTCGGAGGACAGAAGCAGAGGCACTTTCTGGCCACCCAGGCTACTGAGCGCTTCACCTCTCAGGGTGCCTGGTGGCAGTGAGGCCCCCGCTCATCTCGGGACGCAGGCAGCGTTTGCATGAGGCAGAGAGTGGGCCTCGGTGGGCTGCACAGGAAGCAGCTGAGGTGGAGACGGGCTTGCAGCGGGCACCGTCTCGGAGACGGGTGCAGAGGTGAGGGCAGGTGTGGGCTCAGTCCGGCCGTCAGCCACCCCTGTGGGAGCCCAGTCGCACAGGGAGTTTAGTCCCTGGCTAGTTGCCGGGAGTTTAGTGCTGCTATATATAGGATATTCAGTTTGATTTGAATTTCAGAAAAACAATGAATAATGTTTTGTTTTGTTTTTGCAGTACTGGAAACTGAACCCAGGATCTTTTGAGTTGAGCTGCAACTCCAACCCTTTTTACTTGTTTGTTGAGACAGAGTCTCTCTGTGTAGCCCAGCCTGGCCTCAAACTCAAGGTGATCCTCCTGCCTCAGCCTCCCAGAGTGTCAGGATTAACAGGTGTGCTCTACCACACCTAGCAACAATGAATACTTTTTGGACACAAATGTGTTGTCTCAGTCATATTTCTTGTCACTGGGACTCAATCCTCAACAGCAACAAATTAAAAGATAGGTTTATTTTGGCTCATGTTTTTAGTTCATTGTCCAATGGCTCCAAGTCAGGGGGCTGACAGAGGAGAGCTGCTCACAGCATGGCAGACAGGAAGCAGAAAGAGAGGGGAGGGGCTGGGAAGGAAGAGAAACCCTCCCAGGCCCCGCCTCTCAACAGCAAGTCAGCCAGGAGCCCCGTCCCTGAGCACAGAGCCTTTGGGGACATCTAGATATAACCATGATGCACGTCCCATACAGTACTTGCAACACACATACATCGTTTTCTTTGTTTGTCTAAAATGCAAAGTAACTGAGCATCCTGTGTTGCCTGGCAACGGGATGAGGAAGCTGGGGCTCTGGCTGCCTGGTGCCCAGTGTCTGAGATTCCACTGTTCCCATGATGAGGCTGGACCCCGGGCCATGGGCTCTGTGAGGCCCAGGTGCTGTCAGGCTGCCTACAGCCCCCTTGGTGAGCGAGGGGGTGAGTCCCGTGCTCCAGGCTTGGAGGACACATGGGGGTGCCTGTCCCAGAGCCCATGGCAGGAGCAGACTCTGGAATATTCTGGAAGGGTGGTGATTTGCCCAGAGTCAAGGGAAGGGGTGAAGAATCAGTGCTGGGGACAGGGCGTGAGCCCAGCAGCAGGACAGACGCCGGCTAGCCACGGTCTGGCTGATCGAAGCTGTGGGCTCCCGGCCTGTGCTCCTCTTCCCCATGTGGAAGCCCCACAGCCCGTGGCTGCCCCAGTGGGTGACACCCCTCCCTCCACAGCTGCACCTCTGAGTGACTGATTCCGCCTCCCGGCACCTGGCTGTGGTAGCAGGAGACAACTGCCCTTCATCTGGGCCCTCACGCACGGGATCTCATGAAGCCAGAGACAACCCTCTAACAACTAGAACCTTGGCCTGGCCTGAGGGATAGGACCCTGAGACAAAGGAAAAACTCAGGCGTGATCACAGATCTGATTTCCTTTTTTTGTTTTTTATGAGACAAGGTCTCGCTATTAGTTCAGGCTGGCTTTGAACTCACTATGTAGCCCAGGCTGGCCTCAAACTCATGGCAATCCTCCTGCCTCAGCCTCCCGAGAGCTGGGATGACAGGGTATGCCACCACACTTGGCTAGATGTGGTTTGTGTATTTTTCGAGACAAGGTCTTGCTATATAGTCCAGGCTGGCTTTGAATTCACCATGTAGTCCATGCTGGCCTTGAACCCGAAGGGATCCTTCTGCCTCAGCCTCCCCAGGGCTGGGTTTACAGGTGTGCACCACCATGCCCAGCCTGATTTTCTTAAAGGTAGGCAAACAGCAGCTGGCAACCTACAATCTTTAGGAGAGGGAATGAGCCTAGTTCTTAGATATTTTACCCAAATGCAGAGGTGATTTGTTGTTGTGGAGAAAATGCTTTCCTGTGCGGAAGGGGCTTTCTGTGGCCAAGGCAGGAGGGGAAGAGCACCCCTCCAAAGGAACAGGAGGCCTTCCCGAAGAGAAGCTCCCTCCCGTCTGCAGCAGCTGGTCGGTGCAGCAGGGAGGACTGCGGTTTTACCCCCGGCACATTTTACACAGAAGCGGGAAGTCTCCACTGCGGTTCTGTCTGCACAGCTGGCGGCTGTTTCCTCCTCCTAGGCAGAGCTGGGAGGGTGCAGAGCACCTGCCACCTGCACTCCCAGCATCGCCCCTCACTGCAGCGTCCTCGTGTCTCCCCTTTGCCGCGGCCCTGTGAAGATGTGGTCCGAATGTGACCACCGAAGACCACGGCAACCCTTCCCTGCCCCCACCTTCTGGCCCCCTCACCCCAGGGCCTGCACGCCAGGAGGCGGAGGCAGGAGGCTTACCACAAGTTCGAGGCCAGCCTGGACTACACAGCGAGACCCTGTCTCAAAAGACAAAATCAAACAAACTGCTTGGGCTGGCGTGAGCTCAGTGCAGAGCCTGGCGCTGAGTCCTTGCCTGGTACAGGAACACTGGGCTCCATTCTGCTGGTGCCGGGCCCAGAGCCCTGGCTTCAGACCTGGGGGCACGCTGGAGTCACTGGGCGTCACTGGGAGCTTTGGGAAACACCACGGCACTCCGCTCTGATCCGCCGGAACTCTGGGGCTTTTTAAAGCGCACCAAGCGCTCAGCTTGAGCCAACTTAGCAGTGCCCACCCCCACTGCCTCTGCTCCAGGTTTCAGGCGCTGTGGTCACCCTGGGCCCTGTGGAAACGCAGAGGTGAGTAGAGCTGGGTGGGCCTGCAACTCTGCTTCTTTCTGGGAGGGGGGTACTGGGGATGGATCCCAGCCCTGTGCACTGAGCTACACCCTCAGCCCTTTTTCATTTATTATTATTATT